AAAAAAAAAAAAAAAAGGTAAAACCCAATAAAACACAAAATAAAAAGTCTCATGTGACAAGTTGTGCATTATAAAGATCCATTCCTTTTCCATGCATGCCTACAAGACAGAATCAGATCACAACTCCATCATCCCCAAGAGATAATTTTGTTTCTCCTTCTCCTTCATTTATTGTGTCTATAAGAACAATAATAATAAGGAAAAAAATTAAAAAAAAAAAAAAAAAAAAAACATTTTTGTTTGTAGTCCTTTTATGTTTGCCCTGAAATACAAAAAACTTAGGCAACTGCATATATAGTGGCAAGCATCACAGTCCTCACGGGTTCCTCCTCGCCCGAGCCCGACTCCACATTCGGTACCTCATCACCCTCGAAAACGTTTTTCGAACACGGTACATCTTGAAAGCCTCGTGGGCTATCACGTTGGCAGTCGAACGATCTTTGTCGAGGATTATTCCACAGCCGTCTTGAAAAGAATCCATGCCGTCCGCCAAAAGCTGCCAGAAAAGGCCACCTGCAGCCACTCCACCTCGACTGGCCGATTTATAAATCCTCGAATACACCAAGTAGAAGAACTTGTCCCTTTGGCTGGGCTCGAAATTTCGATCTTTCGAACATTTCCCAAATTCCGCAAAGAGAAGGGGCTTCCCCAGAATAGCGTGAGCATCTTGAATATGCGTGTTGAGCCATTTGTTTAGGAAAGAATGCCGCTGTTGTTCACTGAAGCTCGGCAGCCTAATGATCGTTCGAAACAGAGGAAAAAAACAAAAAAGAATAAAGAAACAGAAGATTTTATCAAAATTAGATATATATATATTTTTTGCTTATACCATATATCCGGGTACGAGTGGACGGTCGCAAAATCGATCTCATGAATCAAATTGTTTGTTATAAAATCAGTCCCGAGGTTAGAACCCGGATTTATACCGGTCATTCGTTTTGACGATCGACCATAAAAACCTTCTAATCCAGCTTCTAGCAAATGATTTTGATCAATGGACTTCACATAAGAAGCCATCTCTTGTATCCAGGCCTGTGAAAACTTGGTGATGTTTAAAGATTATAAAATCATATCATAAATAAATTCAGAAAAAAAAAGACACAGATTATAGGACAGAATATGAGAACCTGAATAGTCCTGCCTGATGGATCTGAAGTACATCTTGCCTCATTCATCAGTTCCCACGCCATAATTGTCGGGTCATTCTTGTAAACGACTCCAGTAATCGTGTTGCGTCTGTTAACAACAGACTGCAATAAACACACGAAACACATTTAAGCCGATTGGCATTGCTTCGAAACAGAGGAAAGCAGAACAATTTGCAGCATTATAGATACATTGAAGCATATAGTAAATAAAGAAAGTGAAAGGAAGGAAAAAAAAAAAAAAAAAAA